GGTGAACGCTTCCAAATTCCCCGAGGACGTTGTCAAGGATCCCTTCACATACCCGATTGCTTATGCGATAGATCACACCTATATTCGTGAATATAATCTCCAACATACAGAATAGAACGAAACTAGCTCATATTTGTGATTCATTTGGCACAATGTATCGTCAACGCGAAGATTCTAGTCCCTATTTTCACAATAATGCACCGCACTTTTCTTATCTCCAACATAACAGTCACAGCGAATTGGCACGTTCGCGTAAACAATTACCATATATCACTTATTCACGTACTTAAAAGATACATACAAATATTCGGCCACCGTAACAATGTTTCATATAACTTTTCTCCATATATATTGATCTATTAATATTTATAATATCTACATTTCCATTTACTTTCCGTATATTAAGTTTATCCAATGGCGCATCCCCTACTTAAACATCCAGACGAATTACGAGAGGAACTTATTAATAATAAGATTTTTTAAATATATCATTAATCATCAGCGATAGTGCTTCTTTATTTCTCCTCATTTATTTATGTTTTAGGTTGCATTTTAAATCATCACGTGCCTCTCCGAACGGAAAAAGGCTTGGCAGGCGGACGCATCTGTGTCGGAGTTGAGACCTCGAAAGGTAAAAAACCGAGAATTCTCTGAAAGCCGTGATATCGTTGAATTCTAGGTTTTTTTTATTACAGTGGAATCTCGATAAGTTGCCGAATCCTTCCTTAATTCCATTCACGACGCTTGAGAGATTTCTCCATTGGTTTATCGTATCCTTTCGTCCGTAGAATCTCAGCATCGCTGATTTTATTTCGAAAATAAAATCATCCAACTCTCACTTTCTCTAGAAAGCAACAGACTTTAACGAATCGTTATCCTTCAGTCGTGGATAATGCTGCAAATATCGAGAGTCCATTGCATCGAAAAGAGGAAAAAAATTTAGAATAGAGATCGCAACTCCATGGACCCTTTCGGAAAATCCGGCCCGCTTCCGGAATTCAGTAACGTGTTTAGTTATAATTTGTTTTTCTTTTAAATAAATATATCCATGAACAAGGCACTGCTCGTAAAGAAAGGTTTCCCAATGTTGGATATTACCGATTTATAAATACCAACGTGATGTATTTGAAAAAATTGGCGGAGAATCGAACGTTGAGAAACCAACGAGACACTTCTTAATTTGTTAATTCTAGACGGACTGATTTATTAGCGTCTCGTAAAACGAATGATGACGTGAGTAAATCATCTGGATCTCTCAATTATCTGCTCATTCTCAAGTTATTCTCAGTTATTAAATTCTTTCTCTATAAAAAAGTGCTCGTCTTAGTTGTTACATAAGTATAATAGAGTACAGTTAATCGAATTTGGTGGGTTTGTCGCGTAATTTCAATAGTTGGAAATAAAAGCCCGAGTTATCGCCAGCTCGATATCGAATAATTATTTCTCTCGTTAGAATATAAATTTCTCGCACTAACATACAAGCAACATCAATTGCTATATAGAATATATAAAACACAAAGTGTACTTTCAGTGTAACGTAATATCCTAACGAACATACTTATGTACATCGAATAATCCCTTTCAGAATGATTCTTTACAATTAAAAATGGCTTCTGCATTCGAGCAGAAGCTAACAAAGTCTCCCTCCAAAACAATCGGCCAATTTTTAATAAGCAGCCAGAGAAAGACGAAAGAAAGAACCCGCCGCATTGGAGCAAAATACAAAAACGAAGAAACGTGGTAATTTCCATAATACCGTAGGAAAATACAAAAATGGTCCAAGGAGCCCGCGTTTGTGGTTTGAAAGAGCGATTTCCCCGCCGATCGCAGGCCCAACGGCGTGGGTTACAAGGGGAAGCACTTGGTCCTTTTCTGGGTCGCAACGGACCTGCAATCAACTTTATCCAGTGTAAAACTTTCAGGTTTAACTGTCTCCTCGACTGAAATTCTTCCAAGTCGTTTCTTAACTCGGAACGGAGTAGACCTTGGCGAGATGATTTCATAGAGATCACTAGTTCTCCCCTGAATCTGGACTCTCTTCTTCGGACTGATCGAGCTTGTCTGATCAATGGGAATGGCAATGTCGACATCCTGGAAGTGGTTGTTAGTGGCTTTGGCTACTTGCTTGATCTCGACTACTTTTTCTTCACCGTCATCAGTGGGTGTTGTAAATACGTCTGAGAGACAGCTCTTGGAGTCGTACAGAATACACGGATCCGACGAGTCGAGTGTCTCCTCTGTTCCGAATCTTCTAGCTGAAGCTAGAGATATAGTTCGCGCCTCTGGTTTCGGTAGTTTCACGTCATCAGCGTAATCCAGGGACATACATCTCTTCTCAAACAAGGCTGGACCAATTTCCTCTTTTTTCAACACCTCCTTTTGATCATGACTATCCACTTTGCCATTACCTTCTTGAATTTTCAAGACCGATGGCCTTCGTATGCTGTTCTCACGCTCCACTGACAGACAAAATTCTTTATCAGTCAGTGAAATTTTCTTAGGCATTCGAGCTGGCTTCAGAAAATCCAATTCCCAGTCTTTCCCCTCTTCCGATGGGGTTCTTAATAAGCTCTTTACTTTCTTCAATTCTGTCAGTAGGTCCATTGTCTCTTGGGAAGGCTCGTGGAATATTCGCCTCATTGGACGTCTCACTGACCCCGCCAAATCCACTTCTTGATCGTTACCGTGATCCACTCTCTCTTGCTTACGGAGGACTGACTTGACAGTTCCACTTCGTGAAACATTCTCTTTCTTACTCTCTTTCTCTCTATTATCCCTTTCGGATGGTGAATTCTCCATAACTTCTTGACTACCACAATCTTTGTACTTTATATCATAGACTTTCCCAACTTGAATGGTCGGTCCAATCGTTGTTTCCTTGGCAACTAACTTCTGCCTCTCGGCTGTCTGATAATTAGCTCGTGATCGAATTTTAAAAGCTGCGTAACTCTCTGGTGGCACTTCCTGAAGTTCAAATTTCTCGTGGAGATGCTTGAATGCCCCTCGTAGCATGTCCTGACTGTTGTTCGAAGACCTTTGACTGATGAATGAAGAGTCACCACTCTGATATCCAAGTGAAGACGCCGATGGTGCGGAGCCAACAATAGTCTCTCGTGAATATCGAAGATTATCCGAGGAAATGCCTCGTCTATGGTCGTTATATCTCTCAAAGTCTCCGTTCTTGTCATCGGACTTATCAAGAATATCTTCGGACACTTGCCTCCGCGTTCTCGATGTCATGTAATCAGAGCCACCGAATTTCTCGATACTCTCTTGAAAAATCTGTCTCCTATCGATGGACGTCAGCAGTTCTTCACTCGCTGCTCTATTCACATCATCAGTTGATGTATTCATTCCCTCAATACCAAACTCTGGACTAGTCATCACCGACTTGAGCGGCTCCTCCAACACTTGTCTTCTCGTTTTAGTCGGTGAAGCCTCGAGATCCCCAGATAACGTAGAGTTTTTCGTCTTCCTTGGAATACCCCGAACCGGTATCTGCGATTGTGGTGAGACTTTGGAGTCTCTCCACCTTGCTGGAGAATTGGGTATACTCTCTCCATCACTCTGAAGTACTGCTCTCGAGGTGAACTCTCTTTCCAAGGTTCTGGATACTGGTGGCTGTTGTGGCCATCTTGGAGAATTACTCCAACTGACTGCTCCCCTGACCGGTGAATTAAGATGTCCAGTACTCGACGAAACAATTTCTGCGCTAGTGGTCACTCGACATTTAACAAGCTCCGCAGAGCTAGTGAAAGTCGTCTCGAATTTCGGACTAGCGAGCTCCTCAACATCCTCAAGTGGTGGCAACGAGCTCGGACCAGAATTCAAAACATCATCGAGTGATGCCCCACGAAGTCCATCTCTCCGTACTTTTTCAGTATTGAGTGCATCCTCATCCAAATCCTCAGTCTCAAACGAATACATTTTCAACAAAAGACCTTTACCACTGCGTTTTCTCTCCACCCCAACATGATTGACATCAGGCTGCTCTGTTTCTTCTTCAACAACCAACACCGAATCCTTGGACTCCTCTATCCGAGTTCTCTGAATAGGTGCTGGCTCAACAGTTGTTGTATGAGTTCTTTTCATCATAGCTCTCGGCAAATCTCTGATCGCATCAAAGGAGAATTTATCAAGAGTTTTAGAAGAGCCAATTTTATCCAAGAATGGCTTTTCAACAGCTTTGCTCGGTCCAATTTTCTCTAGATAAGGCTTACCCACAATTCTAGGCGCTATTTTAGAAAGAAACGGTCGATCCTCTGTTTTTGATATTCCAATTTTCTTCAAAAATGGACGACGCCTCTCCCTCTCCTTACTCGAATCCGACGCTCGCTCACTCAATCGATCACTACTGTAATTCGAGGAATTGTCACTGCTCTTTGATCGAGCCCGTTTATTTCTGGGATGTGGAGTTAGAGGAGTTCTGGGTGTTCTGGGCGTGAGTGAGGGACTGGCATCGGGATTGGGACAAGTCTCATCAAGTAGTGCCATAGCATCACTCAGATCCATGTACGCTTTTCTAGGTACAGATGCTTTAGGAATAGACGTTTCACTATCTGCACTACTGCCTCTCGTTGAATTCAAATCAATTGTACCTCCCACAATTTGCCTACCATTACGGATAAATGATGATGAGGGATACGAGCACTGGTCACTGGGCCCTGGTGTAACACAATCTATTGCCGACTCATCACCATACCAGGGCGTTACCCGCAGATCCTCTGGTCTAGTCGCTGGACTCTGAGGCATTATCGAGTGTTGACGGTGATAAAAAATTTTCGATGCAGCACCACGACTCACGTCCGGCGGATAAGAACCCGGCGATGATGTAGATACACGTGGTGATTCTTCATCAACAATAATGGCATGCCGGTACTTTAAGCACTGGGCAAAGTGGGGCGGCGCCGAATGAGTTGTTTCAATGACAATGCGACCCTGGGCGCATGGAACTATTGGCTCACCATCGGTTGGCGCCTCCTCGGGCGTCAAAGGCAGAGCTGCTCCACGCCCGAACTCGATGAACCACAGCTCGTCCCTCAACTCGCTTTCTCACTTCTTTTCATTCATATCCTTGTTCAGATAATGCAGCACGTAGTGAAGAACTAGGTCATAGCAGTACTTGTACTCAGTCTGTTAATAGATAAAAAAAAAGAAGAGAAAACAGAATATAAACGTGTTAACCTTGTTTTTTCATTACACAGTGACGAGGTTGTTGTTAATTACCATGTTCTCAACGAGCTGGGGCCTGTGCCTCCTGACAGTCTTGACAGCCTGAAAGATGTCCACTTCGCCGTGCTGTATAACTTGCTCTATACAAGCATTAGCAGCGCAGTAAACGCCACACCGGCTTCTACCGTCTGGCGATACAACGGCAACTGGCCCATAATCAGTTCGCTGTCTCCACCTCTCCACCATGTTCATCAATTCTACTAAACTATTCGTCGATGTTGGTACAGCCTGTCCCATCGGCCAACAGGTCAGCTGAAACAACTGGACAGTCTTCGGTGGTGCTTTAACTCCTGCCATCAATTCCGTCAGAGATACTATCTTCTTGTTTATCCTGAATACCTGTTACAACGTTCAAATAACAGTTATTACTGTTTTATCTGAGGGCAGAACTTTTGGGGGATTGTTATCGATTCCACAGATTGAACTTGCAACAAGCAAAACTCACCCAAGTCTTGATGTTTGTGTAGTGGTTGTGGCTTATGTGATCTATGGTGAATACTGGGCCGTACTTCTTCGAGTGTCTTCCCTCGGGCCAAAAACTTGGAAAGTTAGTGGATGCGGGTGGTGGTACACACAGTATAACGACGGCTGAGCACTCGTAATCGTACACAAGTGACCAAAATTCACCGCACGTGTGTTTCAGGGGCCATTCGGTAACGATGTACTCACGGGGTTTCGTGTATCCCTGTCAATCAAATTGAGTATGTGTAACAAGGACTGGACAAACTTAAACCAAACAATCTGTATGGTTTCAATTCCAACTAATTATTGGATTATCCCATTGATACTCACGTCTACGAATACAGCATTTATGTAATCCGTGAAGCTATTACCCTGGAAGCTCGTCAAGTATGGACGAAAGTTGTCAGCTGTTGGAGATAAACTCGTTTACAACTGGATTTGATAAATATTGATAACGCTGATACTGTATTGGATGGGAAAACTCACGTGGCACAACGAGGACATCACGATTTTTTTCCCTGTTATCCGCTCGATGCCCACCAGCGCAATCACCGATCGTAAAACGAGGTGTTTGCTTGCAGATCTGTTGATACTCACGCTGATACTCGTTCATCTTTGTTAGTGGATTCTTCACGCTCTTCTGCTTCAGTCGTTGCGACAGCTCCGAGACGGGAAACCATGAGGCACCGCAGATAATGTACTCCTCGAGGGTGTCGTACACGAATTTATATTGGTCCTGTAAATAAATTCTCGTATATATACTGTTTTTATACATTTATTTCATGGGATCGTGGGCTCGCCGATAAATGGATCGTTTGGCACGCGTTAACGGTTCGCTGGGTTTTCATATGGTTCGAGAAAAATAAGGGTTCACCCAGCCATCGGGGAAAATAGGGATCACGATGTTCATGGATGATTTAACGATTCTCATCCTATGAAGGTTTTATACTCACCAAATTGTCGATGAGGCCACGCCTGCTCTGTCGCAGTTTCTTCAGATAACCGAAGACGTCGAAGGCGTCTTCTTCCTCTGCAAGCTCCAGATTTGCATCGATTGCCAGGTACACGCCTGAACGACCACCGCCATCACTGAATTTTTAAAGGAACCATCAATAATCAAATAAAATATAAAATAATAAATTAATAAATGAAGCTGTTGTGTTTGCCAATTCCTCTTTCGCTAGTGAAAATTCATTGAAGATATTAATTTCGATTTGGAATCGAACGAATATATCGAATCGATCTCTCAATTTTTCACACCAATTTATTTAGGGAATGCGATGGCGTACACTTTGTAGGAAATCGACGTGAAATCGTTCAATGCACCCGAGCGTTCACCGAACTCAAAGACTTCCGTTCTTCAAAATTAAAAGTTTGTCTCGTCGTAGCTTCAACAAGGAACACACAAAGGAGTGAACTCTTCGAGATTACTCGGCCCCAGATTCTGAAACCAGTCGAAACTTCTCTGCCCGGTATTTATCAGTAATCCGCGTAAATCGGATCCAATTTATCATTGCGAAATTACTCATTACGATTATCAAAGAGGAATCCACCAACAGGACTTGACCATTGTTTTCATTTCTTGTAATTATCGATTATTAAAACCCATTATCAATTGAAATTATCTAGCGATTCGACATTCGAATAAATAAAAATAAATTAAATGAATAAATCTTTTGACTATGAGATCGACTTGTATTTATTTTTAATAATAAATAAACCTCAAGTCGGTCAAACCCAACAGAAGATGATAACTCAACTCACTTGCAGTGAACTATCATTGGACCCGACTCTTTCTTAAGAGTTGAACCAACAACTGCCCTAACTCGCCTCCGAAACTCCAAGACAGCATTGCTGAATGGGCACGTGTGCGAGTGCCATTCAGTGTAATGAAACTGGAGAAGTGTACGCTCCTCCGTAATTTCCTGCTGACAATTTTAATAAGGTAAAGTAATTTTACAATGCCAAAACGTTAGCTATCGAATGCCCATGGGAATTGGATATTGGCTACTCACACCACTCTCATCTTTCTTGTAAAGTTTTATCGTTCGTATGTGAAAGTTTGCCAATTCTTCCTCCTTGAGAACGGACACACCGATGCCCCCGTACTCCTCATCCTTATCCTTGTTGGGCGGCCAGTATTGTACACACATGACCTGGTGGAGTTAAAATTCAAGAGATCAAAGAGATTAAACAGATTAAAAAAATTTTAAAAACTAAATCAATGGTGACTTTATTGGTAGATAAGTAAATTTGTTAATTAAGTTTCATCTCTGCGCTTGCTTCTCCGGTCTATTCATCGATTTTCTAGTGGATATTCAGATGTCCCCTTTACCCGGACTTTGTATTCTAATTTCCATGTAAATATTCTTTGGGTGTCAGTGCTGATGGGGAAACTTAACTAATTAGGCTCGTAAAATCACATTAGCTTGGGACTTTCGTGACGATATATAGTTGAAATAGTGGTGGGGGCGTTGCATCCTGGTCCCTCAGGCGAAGGTGTCCGAGGCCAGAATTAATACGAGGGTAATCAGTGTCGTCACCATCGGCAACTGTATACCATTGAACGGACACACCTCGATCTACATGCGCATTCGTATGTTACTCTTTCCACTGATTCTCGCCAATTGCTGGGCAATCGATAATCGAATGTTTAGCGTTCGTAATACTCGGCTTCAGGGTAAAAGGATTACGAGTCGGATAAGTTATGAGTTTGTTCATTGAATGTTTATGTGGGTGAGGGTGGAAATTCATTGAGAGGAATTCTAATTAGTTGACTGATTGTTTTCGAATTACCTTGATGAAATCAAAGGTTTTTGTTAACATCACTATGCAGGATGCTTGCTCTTGCCATACCATCCGCCAGAATTCTGTCACTGTCGTCTCTATGGGTCCCTGAGTAACGATGTAGGCATTTGGCTTTAATATACTCTGTAAATCATCATTTTCTTATTATAAATTATAAACAAAGAATTACCTTTTTAGCATTTTCCTAATTTAATTCAATGCACGGAGAGAAATATTCAATATTCAATAAAAATTATCTTGAAATTTGTTTTTATAATTCTGGAGAGAAATTAGGTTGTAAAGAACTTTACGCAACAATTATGCAATTTTTATTTATAATCATGAATTTCCCTTTTTTTATTTCATTGCAAATTGAAATATTTTATAATAAATCCATGATGTATTTATATTTTATTTATATTTTAACGTCATTCGTTACAAGGTGCGACTGGCTATTACCCGAGAGCCTTTAGCTAGGGAGTTTCCTATAATTGTTTGTAATATAATTTTTTGGTGCTTAGACAAGACATTTAAAGACATATAAATATATAGACATTATATACGCATAAATCTGTATTTTTTCTGTAACTTTACATATTATTTTTATTATTTACATTAATGGTGATTTGATGAATTATTATTATGAATATGAATTTAAAATTGAGTTGAAGGAATTGAAGGAACAGCTTCTCAAAATTTCCAACCACATTTCGATTACTGAAATTACAGAAATTACTGAAAGGACACGTAATTGCTATTGAATTATTTTCTCCCTGCAATTGCTGCAGTTGAATTTTTTCTGATAATTCCTCTCTATATGGTATATTCGCTAATTACAAATTATTTATTCACTCACATCGACGTAGGACGCATTCACGTAGTCCGAGTCCGGTTGGTTATTAATGGTGTCGAGTACAACTCTGTTGTAGTCATCTGCAAATTGAAAAATCACCAGTTCGATAAATCCCAACGACTCATTTTTCTCTCAGGGGATTAATACTAATAATGGCCCAATAAATCACGAGAGTTTTCATATCGGGAGATGAGCAGTGAGATGGAAGTGCCGTGTGCTCAATCTTGGGTTGTCAGTGACTCGAAAAATGGAGGATTTCCATCAGCAATTAGTCCAAGGTACCTCGGAGTTGATCGTTGAACATTATGAACTGAGAATTTATACTCCATCGAATTGTCGGCACATTCTCAACTCTCCGCTTCCTACTACCCATGTTCAACAATCGCCGGTGTAATTAACTTCTCCTTAATTGACTGTACGTTTCCGCGAAGTACTACACTTGACTTTGGTGACTAAATGGAAGCCCAGATGCACCACTTGTTGACGTAAAATCCGACGGCCTCTCGTTACACTGACACACCTCATTTTATCGATACGTTGATTTAACGTTTTTCTATCCCCAACTTAATTCACATAAAAAAAAATATCAAATAAGGAAAACGTGGACCTCAAGCTCAAATTGAAAAATAACAAATGTAAATTCAATATTTGTTTTTCTTTCACTCTGAGGATTGGAAACTACAATTTAATGCGTACATCTCGTCGCGGGGACAGCTTTTTTTAATTTCACATGAAGTAATCTACTCCATTCCCACTTTTCCCATTCCGAGGGCTTATGAAAATTTCACCAATTTTTTTCAAATTAACTCACATGGAATACACCGTTGATTCTGATTCTTTTCCCTGTTGGCTGGCTTCATGGCATGCCTGCATGAATGTGTCTCCACTTTAGCTGCAGTCTGCAACAAATTCAACAAAAAATTAATAAAAAAAATAGCAAATTGCAGTGTACGGGTAAATTGGAAAATGAAAATTAAAGTATGAACACAATATGAATCTGAGGAAAACCGCGTTCACCGGAATTTCTCCCATTCGTGAATTTATTACACTTGGCATTGATGCCCAAAAATGCGGAGAGATGACCCACTAAGTGTTCATAAATAATGCGCTAGCCTCTTTCCGGTTATAAGCTCCATGAACCTTACGTAACTACCACTGGCTAGTTGAAGGAAAAACGACACCTCACTTATGTACCCTATGTACGCATCCGAGCTCTTGAATTTAAATAAACCAAGCCCACAGTAAAAAACAAATTATTAATTGCTCTTTCAAGACATACAGTGTAATTATTCTTGCGAATAACTTGGCGTAATTGCATCCTGATTTCGACAGTACATATAGAATCGAAGCTACCATTTTTAATTATAATCAAATTTAATTGACGCTGAGTTAAATATTTTCAGATTTTCCTTACATATTTATACAATAATTGTTGCTATGGTTTCTTCCAACATCTTCCAACACGATCACATCGATGCAAATTGTTTAAGCCGTCATTGGGGTATTTTATAACATTTTTCTTTTCTTATCGTAAAAAAAATGGATTTTAATGAATAAATTGAATTTTAATTAACATCGGTAGGTGGTTCTCAATAATATTTTCGTTAACTGAATTATTTTTAATTGTCATTATATTTCATTCCATTTCATTAATTTTCATCGATACATTAGTGCCCAATCGGAGATGAAGTTTGAAAAATTTGTCGCATACATATATGCAATGTATACCTATAGACATTTTTGGAGACACGCTCCAAAAATTTTATAATAGCGCGAAAAATTCAAAACGTCGATTTTAACGATTGCAGGGCTTTTATTCGAGAGCGAAGGTAAAAATAGTGGGGTTTGCCTATAAATTCAGGAGTGATTTGGGCACCCTTTCCTGTTTAGTCACTCGACTGCACTCCCAGACTGATCCAAATGCACTTTATTCACTTGAATGATTCACAGATTCGTCGTTTTCCCAATTGTCCAAACTTGCTGGTGAGAAAGAAAACTCTTCGCGCTGTACCGCACCTCGGAATAATTTCCCCAATGTTTTTCCCTTTGCTTGTTTTTTCTTTTGCAAATCGCTGAGACACCGCGCTTAAACTATTTTTTTTACTTCTAATTTCGAGTACTCAAGGCTCTCCAACTCAAGCAGAAGTTCAATTGCACTTGTGAAGCTCTTGGGTTAGTCAAGTTTTCCGCGTTTTATAATTTTTTTTGCAGCCTCGTTACTCGAGAAAAATCTCGGCACGGATAATATTGGATAAAGAGAATGTGGGCGTGGGGCGTTTAAATCGGGGAATATAATATTCTTAAAGAGAGATGTTATAATATATTGGGAAAATGTTTGCGAAGGAAATCAAGAATCACGTAGAAATATCGATGTGCACTCTCACCGAAAATACATATATACACTAATAATTATCTGTAACATATATCTGATATATAGAATATTTCACATATGTCAGGGATGACATGTCGAGTATGATATATATCTGTTTGTGATATATATCTGCTCACGAATTGGGCACGATTCGCTTAATATTCCGATCGCATCAAAATATAAAATCTAAAATCTAAAATCTAAAAAACAATAAAATATCAGAAGTAAATATATAAAAAGTATAAATATATACTAACGATTACACGAAGAAATTCATTATATTTTGGCAGAGAATTCGTTTCACTTCGTATCCTTCTCTTTTTTGTTTAATTTCTCCATTAATTAAGTTGTTATGTTCTAATTATTCTTTTCTGTGCAGAAAATGAAGGGCTTCTTGCCGTAATCGTTGGTGTTACTTTATTCATCTGTGTATTTTTATTTCATCATTCATTTTTGCCTTCTAGGGTATCGATTTCAGTGGCATTTTGCAATGATTTTGCATAATTAATTCACTGCCTACTACAATTTATTACACAGAACAAAAATTTCTTTAGACAAATTTTATTGGAAACATTTTGATCGAAAATTTATTCTAATATTCTAATATTCTTTCAGTCAATTCATTCAATTTATTCTAATATTCTAATATTGTTCTAAAGAATTTCATAAAAAATTACACCATCCCAAAATTTGTGGGGATTTTTAGGGAAATATCTAGTGCTCGTAATGAAAAATTTGATATCCATAGAAAAAAATCTGAGTGTCACCTAATAAAATCATCAATAAAGAAGGTTGAAATCATAAAATTGTTCAATTTCCTTTCTCTATTTGCGACTATGAAATTTCAGAAGAATTAATTCAGCATTTTCAATCCGTTTATTGGACACCGTTGCAAAAATGAAGTACCATGAATAATGCATCGCGCAGACGATTTCCGGGATGTTTTTTTCATTTTATTTCAAAAGAGGCAGATTGAAATAATTTTATTCAATATTTTTATACATCAGATAACCTTTTCCTCATATTTTCTTTCTACCCATTAAGTTAAAATGACCGCCATTTTTTCGGTTTTGAAAATAATCCATTTATCAATTTTTAACGCGGGAAAATGGGATTGATAATAATTGAAGGGATTGATGAAAAACTTCCATGAGGTCCTGAGTAAAAGATTTATTTAAGAGAGAATTATTTAATTTCGCTCCGATCGGGTAGATGTAGACTATCAATAAATTAGAATAAAAAAATGTAGGTTCCATCTTCCTTGATATTCAGAAAATATGTCGTAACCCCGTCATTTCCAAAAATATTTTCCAACCAAAAGCTTTTTCGTGTTGCTTGGGCGGTGGGAATCCCCTGATCATCAATCGGCTGGTGGTTACACTTTCAACCCAGATCCATTTGCCGTCTCCTTTTGTTCCATTTCGTCCAACATTTATTCTCCCTGAGATCCACATATCCCCGAAATGACTCGCCAGGACCTCTGAAAGCACTCGCCAACTTTTCAAATCCCCTTCAGATTAATTCTCCAATTAAGTAACACGTCTCTTCAATATAATTTTCAGCTTCCAGAAAAATAGGAAAGAGAAAACCAGGAATTAAAATTAAAATTTCATTCAATTAATCAACTCCTTCCGCTTACCGCTGAGGAAATAAAAGCAAGATGATGGATGCTTTGGAAAAATACTTGAACCACAGCCAGAAGATCCCTTTTACCGAGGAGTTGCTAGGATTACGTGCGTGACAAGAAATGCTTGGCCAACAACCCTCTCGTGATAAAAAAAAAAGGAAAAACAACCCTCTCGTCGACCACCTCGATCCATCCTCATTCCAAACGACTCGACTTTACAGGAACCCTCAGGTACTTTTTCCGCCCATTCGGAGCTTCACTTTTTGGCCTCTGTACTTTTTTTTTCATCCTTTTTCTTTCCTCCCACGAGATTGCTGGATGTTCGTCTCAGTATGTCTCGCTTCAATATGCCTCTTTTTTTTTCAAAGTTTACTTCCTCTGGCTTTCTTTCATTCTATTTCCCTGCTTTTCCCTTTCCCTCTTCTCTCTGCTTTTTTTTCTCTCTCCACTGGAACCATTACCACCGTTTTTGCGTTTTCATAAATTTGCCTGGAAATGTGTCTTCAGAGTTGTGGGCATAACTCTTTTCAACATTTTTGCTAGCAATTATTTCCCCGCGGATTATTATTCATCGTAAATTTTCGGGAGTGTCACGGTTATTTCGTTTTCGGTTGTATTAATTTATTCAACGAATCCAACGATTCTCTTTCGTTTTTTTGTCGCAAATGGGAGGAGATACGCCCATCTTTAGACAACACTCGGATAATTTTCATCAACACTTTTTGAACTTTGAGCAGGAGTGGTTTTCGAATTTCCGGTGTAGTAAATTTAGATTGAACTTCACATCAAATCAGCAGTGAAGTGGTGAATGGAGATAAGTCGCCTTATCTCTTATCTCTACGAGTTTTTTCGGAAATATCTCCGAATCGAGGGCAGATAGCGAAATCTGTGTAATAACTTTTGTTGAAGCACTCAATGATTCCTATAAAAAAGGTCATATTGAAAATTTTATGATTTCTCTTAGTTTTCGAGATTTTCCCCAAGTTTCTCACCCGTGAGTCTTCAATAAAGAAAAGAAGTTAAAGTTAAAATCGC